GAGTGTTTTTTGAGTGTGTCTCGCATTCAAAAATACTGTGAGTAAGATTTGGGTGTAATTGGGGATTGGGTATTTTTCTGAGAGTACCACAAATTGTATCTCCCTATTTTAATAGTGAATTTTTCCTTGTGAGTGCCCGTGGATGTAGGCTCAATTAAATTAGAGCTGAGCCACGTAAATTCTGTCTTTCTTGTGGTGGTGTATTTTTTTATTCCATTAATTTCTTAATCTTGTAGTGGGTTAACCAAAATCTCAAGCAACTTGTTCCAACAAACAAGCTGACTCGTGATCCAAGCAAAACATGCCTGTTCCATGTCGTAACCTGTTTCCATGACATTATAACAAGGCAGGTAGGCTTATGACAACTTAGCATGCCAAGTTACAATTCCCTCACTTGGGTCCTAGTGTTTCATATCAATAGCTCCTCCCAGATCATAACAACCAAGTCACTGTTATGTTTTGTTACCTTTTTCTGGAAAATAATTGATTCACTCATTGGTCATTACTCATTGTTAAATGAAATCTACTATTTTGAATTGTTTTATTGCTCCTTTTCGGGGATGAGTGATTCAAGTAAAGGTCAAACAGAAGCATGTGTAGGAACATACTCTGACTTTAGGACTACAATATATGGAAGACGAAGATGATGGGCCCTTGTTATTGGATCTTGGCAAGGAGAAAAGGGTGCCCACACCATGTGTAGTTTCACTCCAGCATTTGCAGCCATGTCCAAATTCCAAAGGAAACTGAGACAACATGCATTTACCGATGTTTGCATCAATGTCCCAAGACTCCCAACCAAAGTTGGATTGGAACAACATGTAATTAAAAACATGTAGTGATGTTTTTTTTTTTTTTTTTTATTCTTTGATCAGCCAAGTAGTGGTGTAGATCATTAGTAGGTAATGTGTGCAATTTTCCACTCAACAAAGAAAATAAATAGGCCATTGAATTGTAGTCCCAATTTTTGATATCAATTCCATTAAGTTAGCGTGTTTAGATATTACACAAGTAAGGAATTTGGATTCTAAAACAGCTCGAGTGATGGAAATCAAGCTAAGACTATAATTCTATGGATTGTGCTTAATATGTCAGTGTAAACACTTATAAAGGGAAATAGAGACAGAAGCACTTGTAAGGCCAAAGAGATGGAAGTTCGACTTTTCTTTGTTTTATTGATGAGAACAGAGTTTTTTTTGGTGTTTTAACTTCCTCAAGCAGGGCATTTTTTGTGGATGGGAAGCAGTTTTGTGGGCTTTGTCGTAGTCTTAGCTGGTCTCCTTGTCCTTGTATTTAAGCTTATTTGTACATGATTTTCACTACACCAACCCACCCCAGAATGTGGTATTGAGTAATGGATATTTAGTTAAATTCATATGGAGCTTGAAGGCTAACTTAATTAATTAACAATCTAAATCTTGGCCTAGATCACAAATTGGTTAATAATAGAAAAAAAAAAGAGTACAAATTATTTCTTTAAAAAAAAAAAAATACGTTTGCCTGTTGAAAATTAGCACATGTATGGAATAACATCAGTTTCCACATATATTTTTCAGGGGAACACCTTGGCTATTCAGGTGTCGTGGTGTAGTTGGTTATCACGTCAGTCTAACACACTGAAGGTCTCCGGTTCGAGTCCGGGCGACGCCATTTCAAATATTATTTTTGTTTCTTTTTGCAAAACCCAGTTTCTAGAACAGAAAATTTATTCATAAACGGTAACCAGGTCATTCTGGTTTAGAATATCTGTAGTAGACTAAAGTGCAAGTTGAACAAATCATTTTAGCTCTTACGAAGCCAATCGTAATTTGTGAACTGTATCCAAGCTCTGGATCATGCTGTACAGAAAAAAATCTATCTATAATTTTCTCACGAGGGACTTTATAATCCATGTGCATGGCATAAGGTTCATCATGACCCCTTGAAAGGAACAAAAAATATGCTGGTAGGTACGGAGAAGGAGTTGGGTTCCAATGGTCCTTCATAGGTCCTACCACCCACTTTATGCTCATGGTATTTTTTACAACAGCATTCTGGTAAAAGATAGGTCAGTATTGGAGAACTCACGAGAAATTACCAAACTCACAACGAATTACCAACTCTTGCAGTTTGAGCCAGTTGATGATGTGTTCTTGAACAAGTTGTATTCTCAAAGAAATTTGATTTGATCAATGAAAGAAGTTGCACAGATTTCACTTTCATATGTCGATTGAATGAATTATAGTACAAACAATGAATGAAGGAAAGAAAAAGGAAAAAGCCTCATCATCCTCAGCATACAAAATGCCCAAAAATGGCTAAAAAAAAAAAAATTGGGCCTTTTTCGGAGAGGGCTCGATCTGTTCTGTTCAGTACTATCTTCTGTTGGTATTTCTGTTTACTGTGTTGTGTATGTTGTACGGTATACTTTATCCTTTACACCATGAATCAGATAACTGAGACGACAGATATGTAATTTCAATTCGGTCTGGTCAATTTTCCGGTGATCAGAACTGTTGTGAAATGCAGCGTCTGTGGCAAGCGGTCGTTCTCTTTTTCAGTGCTTTTGTTTCTTGTTTCCAGACCTTACCAATGTCCTGAGCAATTCTCATGGCGTCTGAGGATGCGCCAGAGAGCCCTCTCCTTGTGAACCCAACTGCATAGAGTCCAGCATTCCCTTTCCAGCCATGGGGAAATGGGGTCTTTGGGAATCCATTCTTGGAAAAGAATTCACCTTCCTGTTTAATCATGGAGCAAAACAAAGATTAGCAAATTTGTTCTCAAATTCTGAAAATTTCTAAAACAGGGGAGTTTTTTGAACTTTTTTTCACCTGAAGCCAAGAAGGGACATTGCTGCGGTATCCGCTGGCGAGAACGACAGCGTCAATGTCAAGAATTTTACCGTTGACAAACTCGACTTGGCCAGGGTAGAATCGTTTAACTCCGGAAACAACGTTGATGTCACCGGATCTGATTTTCTCCAGAGCACCAATGTCCAAAACAGGGGTTTTTCCCAGTGTGTTCTTGAGCTCCAGGGGACCAATTGATGGCCTTTTTAGCCCGAATTTCTCGATGTTTCCAAGCACCAACCATGCCAGGAACAGAAGAAGCTTGTCAACGAGCCAAAGAGGTAGCCATCTCATCAGCAAAAAGGCCAATTCGAAAGTTGATTTTCCGAGGATTTCTCTGGGAAGTACATGAACCTGGAGAAACAGAGCGAATCCTATTAGAATCCAATCACAGAATACTTCAGAGAATTTTAAGTAATCTTTGGATTTTAACTTACCGAGCTGCGAACCACCATTGATGGCTCAGCATTGTGGTTGCAAAGATCTAGAGAGACTTCCATGCCAGAATTACCGCAGCCAACGACCAGGACTTTCTTTCCCCTGAACTTCTCACCGGACTTGTAGTTACAGGCATGTAAAAGCTCCCCGCTAAACACGTTTAATCCGTTCATTTCAGGCACCACGCACTCTGCATTTTCTCCTGTGGCCACTACGAGCTACCGGCAAATGTATTCGAACTCGATCTTGGTAGAGCCGCCGTTGGAGACAGTCTTGACCCTCCAGAACCCACTGGTCTCATCATATCTAGCGGATTGTACACACTCGTTGAATCGTGGGTTGATCTCAAAACGCCTTGCGTATCATTCAAGATACTCGATGAACTGTTTCTTGGTTGGGTACTCCGGGAAGTCCTCTGGGAAGGGTAGCTTGGGGAGTTGGCAGAATTGCCTGGGGAGGTGAAGCTTTAGCCTGTCATAGGTACGTTTCTGCCACAACGATGCTATGCATTCGGACCTTTCAAGGATAACAAAGGGCACTCCTTGTTCCCTGAGACAAGCAGCGGTGGCCAGACCTGACGGTCCAGCTCCAACGATCGCCGGGCCATTAACAAGTACGCATCTGCGCTGTAGGAAATTCTGATCGTGATCAACAAAACGGAAAAGGGTCTCCATTTTTGTAATCAATATATCAATGCAGGAAAGAATTGTTCGATGAAATGCTTGAGAGAAATTAATCAGAAAGGGAGTCTATGAGGAAACTGTTTGAGGAAATGCTTGAGAGAAATCTGTAAGAAAAGACTTGATGTTGTTGTGTTTTGGTTTGGAATGGAGAGACGAGGGGGTGGTGGGGTGCTTAGGTAGTGGGTTGCATGTGAGAGCATTGAATAGATAATTCTCTTTGAAGGAAAATTTTTTATTTTTCAAATCATAAGCCTTGTATTATTTTTGTTTGGGCAGCTTCATGATTCAACACTATTGAGGTCTTCAGTTGCTTCCACACCTGAAATTCCTGAGGATGTTTCCTTGGGGAGAACACTCCAACACTCAAGTCAACAATACTTGATATTCTAGAGAGAGATGCTCTCAAAGAGTAATTGCAAAGAGAGAGACGTAGAAGAGTTAATACCTTACATGGAGGTAGTTGGGGGGTATTTATAGCCCCCAAATGCTGACATGAGCTCCAACATGTATTCACCCGATTGGTCCACGTGTTATTGCCCACGTGGGCATGTCTCCCCATCTTGGACCCGTGGGTGTATAATTGGGCTTGCTGCATGTGGCCCGAAGTGAATGTTGGGCCTAATCCCAACATCACTCCCCCCTCGGTGTTCGGTTGACGAACTGGGTTGAGAGTCTCATTAGCATAGTGTTTGACCCTCGAAACGAGGGGTGACGTTTTATGGTTCACGACTGACCTCACACATGACTGACCTGGGGGGCCTGAAGTCGCTGTGCCTGGTCGGATGTGCATGTGTATGCCGGCTTCCTACCGAGCAACCATAGAGGAGCTGGCATTAAAACCAGGTGAGCTCGATACTAATCAGCGAGCTGAACAGGCGCGCAAGGGCGACCTTGCAGAATGGATTTTCTGCAGCAGAGTGAAGGCGAGCAGATAGTGAACGGCTGAACCAATCAACCCCGACGGGCTGAAATGAGCAACCTCAATCGCCACTATAATGTAGATCTCTGGGATACAGAGTAAATCTGAGGGAGTTGGTGACGATCTAACGTTTGATGTTCAAAACTGAGGTGAATATCTAATTTGTTACGACTTGATCTTTAAAGATTTTGCAAATTTGGAATCTCTGAAGAGATCTCGGATTAGTAACGAGCTGATTCCTTGATATTTTCAAATTTTGAATTAGGGCAGATCTTTGAGGAGATCTCGAATTCGTTATGAGCTGATCCTCTAGATTTGTAATGAGCTGGTCTTTGAGATTTTTACATTGTGGCGAATCTTTGAGGAGATTTGCTCAGGGCGTTTGGTATTCTTCTGCCAATAGCATATATCCTTTTGCCTTCCCACAATAAATGCTGGCTCAGCATTTGAAGAGACGTGACAGCTAAAGCTGGCGCGCGTTACACGCCAGGCAATAAGTGACTGCCACGTGTAAAGCTATGAATGGTCGACAGAGAGGCGTGTATGGTGATTATGGCACGACGCTTAACCCCTTTGTCACTTCTGTTTTCTCTTTGGCATTTGTGTTTCCATATTCTCCAGTGCAACAAAGGACTCTTGAGCTTTTCAGGTGACATTTCCAGAAGATTTCACAGTTGATTTTTTCAGGTAATTACAAATGGAATATGTTAGAGAAGTTGGAGAACTCCAGGGTAACCAGGGTATAGAAGAGGAGGAGTATGTGATGTCCGTAGAGCCGATTACAATGATTGTACTGCCGAAACTGCAAGACTTGCCAGAAACCTTTACACCCGAGAGCAGTGCCAGTTCAAGCGCACAAGAGGGTGGCGACCACCACACTTCACCGTCCAGCAGCTCGTCCTCTAAAGAGACACCCAGTCGCAAGGAAGAGACGAGGAATGTGGTTGGCAATGAACCAAATCTGCCTGTGGTTGGAGAATGGGAACATAGGGTAATCACGGGTAGATTAAGTAACCTACGCAAGACGCCCAAGGACCTGCTCGTTGGATTTAGATTCAGGGCGGCGCTTCATCATGAAGTAGCAGACAGTGCGCTCTCAATAAGTGGGTATAAGAAACTGGAGGAAAGGGTGAGGTCGTACCAGATCCCCGGGACGATATTGCTCCGAGCTGGTGCACAGAATGAGAAGGCGTGCACGGTGTCACAGACGGGCTGGATACTAGTGTATGTCGATCACTTTGAGGTCGACCTGCGATTTCCATTGCCCGACTGATATTCGATCTTCTGGCAGATTACGAGCTGGCTCTGACGCATCTGACGCCCAACAGCATAAGATTCATCATAGGTTTTATGCTGTTGTGTGCGAGGTTGGAGGTACCAGCCAAGGCAATAGTATTCAGATCGCTGTTCCAATGCCGGTTGTGTCCTAACTCCAGAGGTGCAAAGTGGTACTACCTCTCTGGAAGGGAGAAGAGCCAGCTCTTTAAGAATGTGAGGAACAACGTGGCGAGGTGGAAGAGGCAGTTCATTTTCGCACGTGACATGCGCACAAAAAGAATAAGCAATGACCTCGTTGCTCGGCTATCTGAATGGCGCGTGCCGAATGCACATGTTAATTACCCCCAGCTGTTGCCTCGAGATACAGATCTGAAAAATCAGCTACTTGAGTATGCGACGAGGGATAACCTAATAGATTTAGAAGCCCTGGTTACCTCGGAGCAGCTTGCCGTGTTCGGGTTTGTCGACGTGGCAAACCAGTTCACAGAAGGTATACTTTTATCATATACTATGAATTCTAGCCGAGCTGAGTCTTATATATTTGTTTGTGCAGGAGAAATGAGCAGCATACTGGAACACCAGTGTCAACGAGCCCAAGGCTCCCGAGGTCGCGTAGCGGGTAGCGCCTCGTAGAGACAGACACGATTTGATGAGCGGCCACCCCCAGCGCCACAATCACGCAGCTCGTCACATTGTGGATCCAACTCGATGTCTAGGCCACAGGCCGAGCAGAGGGTTGAAACTGTGGCCCCCAGTGTATGCAGGGGTGCACATGAGGAGACTGACAGCGAAGATGAAGTCCCCCTCATGCGACACAAAACAAATCCAGGGGCTTAGCCCGCGCAAACAGCTCACACTGCAACAACGCGCTCATCAAATGTGCCATCTGCCACAGCACGGGCAACAGCTTAGCCCACACCTGCGTCGACCTCAGTGTCGGCGCCCAGGATCGCATATCCGGAGGGCTTTAGTTACGTGAAAACGGACTACCAGCCCACCATGGTGCAAGGCATGCAAAGTTTTGTGCCTCCCATGGATCGTCAGCGGGCAAGGACCTTTGTACAGCAGCATGGCGGGCAAGTCACCATGGTCAAACTGATGGACGTAAGTATTTACTTGCACCTGTGTGATTACTTTTTTATTTCATCTAAGGGACTAATAGTTATTGCTGTCTAGCAGGCGTTTAGCTACGCAGTCGCGTTGTTCGAGAGCGAACAAGGAGCTCGGACTCAGAACAGCGAGCTCAACGCCAACTGTAAATAGTTGGCCACAGGAAAGGCTAGCCTAGTGGATGATGTCAATCGTCTGCAAGGCTTTGAGATGGCCACGCGACTAGTCGAGCAGAGGAGCTCACGAGCAGGAATAACGAGCTCAGGGAGGAGCTGGAGCGAGCTCGCACTGAAAAAGAAAGCAAGATCCAGGTAGCGAAGGATGAGGCCGCCCAGGTTGAGGAATTGGCCAAGAAAGCTGAGGCCAAAAGGGATCATGCTCTGAACGATTTGAGCTCCCTAAGGCACCAGGTCGTCAAGGCCGACAAGAACCTCAATGCAGCTGAAGAGGTCCTGAACGAATTGAAGACATCTCACGGCACTTTGTAAGTATCGTCCGAGCTCAAGGGGCAGAATGGTTGGTGGGCTCCGCTGCGTTCCAGGACGTTGTGGCGGTGGTGTTTGCAAACATGACCACAGAGATCTAGAACGAGATCCATGGGAAGGTGTTGCAACATCGCCTGGACTTCCCAATACGCAAGCTGGCGTTCTTCGACGGGGAGGACCTCAACGAGCAAGGTAAGAGTCTTGCTCCCCTTGTTGATGCAACGGTGCGGTTGAGATGGGAGCTCCACTAGGAAGTCCACCACAGCCTGGCCCTTAATAGTTGTGCGTGGCTGGAATTTGAGGTCATACTCATTCAGCTCAACACTCCACCCGATAAGCCGACCAAAGAGTTCTAGCTTTTGCAATATCTTCCTCAGCAGCAGATCGATGTAGACAATAATTTGATGAGATTGGAAGTAAGCTCTCAACTTACGAGCGGTGTACACCAGGACAAAAGCAGCCTTTTCTGCTAGTGGGTAGTTCTGCTCTGTGCCTTATAAAACTTTGCTCACATAGCAGATAGTCTTCTGATGCTTATCCTCTTCCCTTAGCAAAACCGAGCTCACTGCCTCCTTTGTAACCGCCAGATACAAATATAAACTCTTCCCCTCCACAGGCTTAGACAGTAGGGGTGCTGATGCCAGATATTGTTTGAGCTCATCAAACGCATGCTGACACTCATCGGTCCACCGAAAGTTCTTAGGCTATCGCAGGGCTTTGAAGAACGAGAGGCATCTTTCTGCCAATCTGGTTATGAACCTATGTAATGCGGCCACACGACCTGTCAGACGCTGCACATCTTTTACGGTCTTGGGAGGCTCCATTTGATGAACGGCTTGAACCTTCTCTGGATTTACCTCAATTCCTTTCTTGGATACCACGTACCCTAGGAATTTTCCTGATTCCACAGCAAATGTGCATTTCAAGGAATTCAGCTTCATTTGGGCTCTGCGCAAGTTTTGAAATGTGTCATTTAGGTCGTCTATGTGATCCTTAGCTCGCTTGTTGGTGACTATCATGTCGTCCACATATACTTCAATATTCCTACCGATTTGGAGCTTAAAGGCGACTTGCACCAGCTTCTGATATGTCGCGCCAGCATTTTTCAGGCCAAATGGCATCATGACATAGTAGTAGATTGCGTCACCAGCATAAAAAGTTGTTTTCTCCTAGTCGTCCAACAGCAACTGAACCTGGTGATAGCCCGAACTAGCGTCAAGGAAACTCATCCATTCATGTCCGGCTACCCGCTCTACTAGCTTCTCAACATTTGGCAAGGGATGAGGGTCTTTTGGACACACCTCATTTAAGTTGGTGAAATCAATACACATCCTCCACTTGCCGTTTGGTTTTTTAATGAGCACAGGGTTGGACACCAACTCAGAGTATTCAACTCTCCTGATGAAGCCTGCCTGTAGCAGCTTTTGTATCTCTTCATCTATAGCAGCTTGCTTCTCAGGGCCAAAAAGGTGACGTTTCTGAACTACCGGCCTTTTGGTGGGGTCCGTGCTGAGTTTGTGGACTGTCAACTCCATTGGAATGGCGGGCATTTCTTCCGTTGTCCATGCAAACACATCTTGGTTAACATTTAAAAACTCCAAAAGCTCTGCTCGCTCTTCTTCTGTAAGCTTGGTGTCGATCTTAATTGTTCTTTTCGGCACATCAGGGTTTAAGGGGACTGCTTCTACTGGTTCTATCGGCTCAGCCTTCTGCTCGACTCCTTCAGGTCGGTGCTCAATATCTGATATACTCATTGTCTGTTGACCGGGCTGGGTAGGTTTGTGGATTTCAGAAGAGCCTCTCGGGGCTGCAGCGAGCTCGACCTTCTTGAAAGTATCTTGGTAGCAGGCTCTGGTCATCTTTTGATTCCCCTTAAGCATTCCTACCCCCTGGGGAGTTGGGAATTTCATACAGAGATGTGGTTGTGAAATAACAGCCTTCAGCTCGCACAGGGTGGCTCTTCCTAATATAGCATTGAAAGTTGATTCCATCTTGACGACTAGAAAGCTAACAAAAGCCATCCTAAAGCGTGGTTCTGAGCCCACATATATGGGAAGAGTAATAACTCCCTTAACCCGAACAAGTTGGTTATCAAACCCATATATGGGCCCTTCATATTTCTGCAACGAGCTCGGATTCAGTTGCATTTTTTGAAAACAGCTCCAGTATAAGATATCTGGTGAGCTACCAGTATCGATAAACACCTTGTTGACGTTATGATTGCCTATATGAATCGTTGCTAAAAAAGGATTTGGATGAGGCATCATAACGTCGGGCTCTCTGTTTGCTTGCCGGGCTTAATGTAATAGGCGCATTCTCCCACTCTGCCTCCTTGAACGGCCGCTTCAAGGGTCTGTTCTTGTTAATGGTCATCACCTGCCGGGAATATGTCTTACGGCCCCGAGCGCTTTGGCCTCCAGAGTGTATACCACCCGAGATCATATTTATTGTGCTCGAGGGCGAGGGTATCCTAGCATAGCCTACCCCTTTCCTGTCTTTTTGGTTCTGGGTGGCGGTTCTTTGTCCTTGTCCTCTCTTATTGAATTGACGGCCCCTGTATACTCTGCCCTGCTCAGAAGGATATTGGTTATCCTGGTATACGTCCTGTGTGTTGCCGAGCTAGTACCTCTGCCCCTAAGGTCGGTCATACCCCTGTACAAAATGGGTTTGAGTTGGTTGCTGGGCGTAGGGCTTCTGGACATATCCTTCTAGTTTCCCATTGCAAGCTAAAAACTCCAGCTCGTCTTGTAAGTGTTGGCAGTCTTCTGTATTGTAACCGTATGCACGATGATAGTCACAATGCTTGCTTTTTTCTACTCTTAGGGAATCATGCAGTGGGGGTGGGGGTCTTTTAATCCAGTGCTGGATTTGTGCTAGGATTTGAGACCTTGGCAAGGTTAGAGGAATGTAGTTGGCACACTTTGGGAAGTCGGCTGGCTTCCCCCACTGCTCGTTGACTTTTTACTTTTTTTCTTTTTCTTTTCCTCTCTCCTCAGTGGTTGTTCGTGGCTTTTGCTTTGTCTATTATCAGCTCGTCGCTTGGACGACTGGAAGTCTTCTGACAATATGAAGCTAGCCAACCTGTCATTTACTTCGTTCCACGTCTTTGGTGGGTTTTCTAGTAGGTTGTCTAAGAACCGACCACTCTTCAAACCATGCAGCAAGGCAGACAAGCAGATGGTATCGGGGACGTTATCAATATCTAAGGTGGCCTTGTTGAACCGTTGCATGTAATCCCTCAGGGATTCTCCTTCCTTCTTATGAACCTACATCAGTTCTGTCACTATTCGTTTAATCTCCCTTTGGCTCGTAAATTTATTGGAGAATAGCTTGGCGAGCTAGGAGTATGAGTCTATAGAGTGCCTGGGGAGGTTATGATACCATCTTCTGGCCGTTGACTTCAGTGTCGCTGGAAACACTTTGCACATCATGGCGTCATTGGCATTTTGGATTCTCATGATGGCCTAATAGGTATGCAGGTGCTCATCTGGGTCACTCGAGCCACATATGTCTCTAGGTGGGGGATTTTAAATCCCTCTTGATACGGTTCTACTGTGATGGATAGGTTTAGTAGGGCACTATCCAAGTCAAGGGTCTGTTGGTGCGACCTGGGGCTTTTCAACTCGTCAATGGATTCTGTACATCTTTGAGCTGTCTTTCGGGGTTAGTGTTTTTCTTTATCAATTCTTCATTATGCTTAGATGAGCTGGGTTCTAGGTTTAACCTCCCACTTCCCCTTGGTCTGGTTGGGACCACCACATTACTCAGGGCCGAGGAGTTACGGGTTGCAACCACTGCAGCTGGCTGTGGATCCCTGTTCAGCAAAGGAATCAGGGGGTCATCAAGGATCAGGCGGACAAGGATTTTACCCATTGCCATTTCGAGAACTTTGGTTCTCTCTTCGAGCTCGGTTGTTCGAGCAGGCACTGTTGACCTTTCAGGTCGTTCATGCTGTAGACTACCTTGCCTGGGATGTCTTTGCCTTGTTCCTGTTGGAATTTGGAAGTGTTCAGGCTGAGTTGCATACCCACTTAGTGTTCTTTCATCATCATCTGTTCCACTTAACTGATCTTGTTCTGCTCCCCCAACGAAAAGGTTTCTCGGCATTGGTCTAAAATCATTCAAGCCAAGGTCAGATAGTTGAGTGTCCTCTTGTTCGTCCATTTCATTTCTCAGGGGGCGACTTCCGATAAAAGTACGAACCATTTTGTCTTTCAGCAGGTTAAGCTACACAACTTCTTGTTCAATTCCCACAGACGGCGCCAAATGTTTGGGCAGCTTCACGATCCAACACTGTTGAGGTCTTCAGCTACTTCCACACCTGAAATTCCCGAGGATGTTTCCTCGGGGAGAACACTCTGACGCTTAAGTCAGTAATACTCGATATTCTAGAGAGAGATGCTCTCAAAGAGTAATTGCAGAGAGAGTGTCACGCCCCAAAACCAAGAGCGAAACAGACACCGTGCACTCGGGAAAGGGTCCCACAAATGCACAAGGCTCGAACTACTAAGTTCATCATTACTAATTCAGATAATTTAGATTTAAAAACTCAAGTAATATCTAGTTTCTCGTTTTCTTTCATACAACATCACAGCAGCCCAATCAAAGGATTTCCTACATAATTTGACTTAAAAACTCATTTCAAGGCTACCAAAATTCATCCCCCACTTCCTGTAGATTTTCGGACAACCCAAGCACCCATACAACCAATTAAGCTCAACAAGGTAGCAATTAATCAACCAATTTTCGGAAATTAGAGAAGCCAACCTACTAGAAATTCTCAGCAAGCAAGGTTGGAGCTAGCGGGTATAGGGAAGAGCTGGCGGAAAATTGGTGGGCTTCCACGGGGACCACTAGCAATTGAAAGAAATGAAAATTAGAGTGAACCCACATACATCAAGGCTGAAAAGAGGAAATTCATGGCTGATTTTTACCAAGAAAACCAAAGCTCACACCAGTAGCAACCGGCGGCAGGGGAGGAAGAAGACAGTAGATCTAGAGAATTTTCTGCAAAGGAGAAGATTTCTAAGTCCTAGACTTGTTCTTGAACAAGAAGAGAACAAAATCATCAAGTTCTCTTACCAATTTCTTAGGTGGGAGCGTCGGTGATGGCTGGTTTATTTTCGATTGCAGAGGACAAAAAGAGATAGAGTAGACACGCGAAAATGGCTAGGAAAGAAAGAGAGAAAGAAAAAAGAAAAAAAAAGAAAAGTCAGCTGGCCTTATCCAAAAATCTTTTAAACCCTTTGAAATTTGAAAATTTGACTATTAGGTCCATTAATAACGTTTCCTCACCATTAAGTCCCTAACTCAACTTTAATGTTCTTGAAATTTTTGGGGTATTACATCCACCCCTCCTAAAAAGGAGTTTAGTCCCCTAAACTCATACCTCAATCTTGGAAGAGGTGCAGATGTTCTTGCCTCATCTTGGATTCCAACTCCCAAGTAACTTCTTCAACCGAATGGTTATCCCAGAGGACCTTAACAAAACGAATGGTCCTTCTCCGCATTATTCTCTCCTTGAAATCTAAAATGCGGATCGAGTGCTCGTCATAAGTGAGATCCTCCCGGAGTTGAATTGATTCGGGATTAATGATGTGACTCGGGTCAGGAACATACTTCCGAAGTAAGGACATATGAAACACATCATGAACACTCGCTAAATTTCCAAGCAACTCCAATCTATAAGCTACCTCGCCAATCCTTTCCAAGATAGGATATGGTCCAATATAACTCGAACTCAATTTTCCTCGGATGCCAAACCTGGGGACACCTCGAGTGGGTGACACCTTCAAAAATACATGGTCACCAACTTCAAACTCAAGGTCTCGTCTCTTTTTATCCGCATAGCTTTTCTGCCTGCTTTGTGCAGCACGAAGGCGTTCCTTGATCAACTGCACAATCTTAGAAGATTGTTGCACCAATTCTGGGCCTAAAATGCTCTTTTCGCCCACTTTCGTCCAACAAACAGGTGATCTACACCTTCGACCATACAAAGCCTCAAACAGTGCCATGCGGATGCTAGATTAATAACTGTTATTATATGCAAACTTAGCCATGGATAAGTGTTGATCCCACGAACCCTTCCAATCTAGAACACAAGCCCTCAACATGTCCTCAAGTATTTGAATAGTTCTCTCAGATTGCCCATCAGTTTGAGGATGAAAGGCCGTGCTAAAATTTAATTGAGTACCAAGTGCCTGTTGTAAGCTTGTCTAGAAATGAGATAAAAATCTGGTATCTCTATCTGACACAACAGACATAAGGACTCCATGCAGTTTGACTATCTCATCCATGTACATATTGGCAATCTTCTCAATGGAAGTGCCAGTCCGGTAGGGTAAGAAGTGAGCTGATTTGGTCAATCGATCAACGATGACCCAGATGGAATCATTACCCTTTACGGTTCGTGGTAAGCCAATCACAAAGTCCATGGTGATGTTCTCCCACTTCCATTGGGGAATAGGTAAAGGCTGCAGTTTCCTAGGAAGTCTTTGGTGTTCAGCCTTGACTTTCTGGCAAGTCAGGCATTGTGAGACAAATCTAGCTATCTCCTTCTTCATGTTCCGCTACCAAAATGTACTACGCAAATCACGATACATCTTGGTGCTATCTGGGTGAATTGTATAGCTAGTATAATGGGCATCCCCCATAATCTCACGCCTTAAAGCATGATCTCTTGGTACACACAGCCTATCACCAAACCACAAAGTCTCATCATCAGAAATTATGAATTCTTGCATGTGGGGTTCCCCGGCTCTTACTTTTTCCTTCATCCTCTCCAAGAAAGGATCTTTTTGTTGGCCAAGTTTAATTCTATCTATTAATGTTGGTTGTGCACTAAGAGCGGCTAGATAAGCCGTAGTACTATCCACTCTTAACTCCACATCCAATTTCACAAGATCCTCAAGTAACTCCTTCTAAGTGGCAAGGATGCTAGAGGCAGTGCTAGAGGACTTCCTACTCAACCCATCTGCTACTTTGTTGGCTTTGCTTGGATGATAGCTAATGATCAAGTCATAGTCCTTCAAAAGTTCAAGCCATCGCCTCTGCCTCATATTAAGCTCCTTTTGAGTGAAAATATACTTAAGGCTTTTGTGATCGGTGAAAATCTCCCAAGTCTCACTGTATAGATAATGCCTCCAGATCTTGAGTGCAAATATCACAACTGCCAACTCCAGATCATGGGTAGGGAAATTTTCTTCATAAGGCTTTAACTGCTGGGAAGCATATGCAATAACCTTATCTTTTTGCATCAAGACACATCCTAAACCCTTTTTAGAGGCATCACTATATATAGTGAATCCTTCCCCATTGATTGGAAGTGCAAGTACAGGAGCAGTGACCAACTTCTCCTTAAGGGTCAAAAAGCTCTTCTTACACTCTAGAGTCCACTCAAACTTGGTGTCCTTCCTGATAAGACGAGTCATTGGCAAAGCAATTCTAGAGAAATCCCCCACAAATCGGCGGTAATAACCAGCCAATCCCAAAAAACTACGGATTTCTGTAACATTATTCGGCCTTTTCCAATCGACCACAGCCTTAATCTTCTAGGGATCAACCGAGATTCCATCCTTAGTCACAACGTGACCTAGGAACGTAACATTATCTAGCCAAAATTCACACTTCTTAAATTTAGCAAATAGCCTCTCACTTCTCAGTGTCTCGAGAACTATCCTTAAGTGCTTTTCATGAAGAGTATGGCTAGAAGAGTAGATCAAGATGTCATCAATGAAGACAATCACAAACTTATCTAGATATTTGCTAAACACCCGATTCATCAAATCCATAAATCTAGTAGGGGCATTTGTCAAGCCAAATGGCATGACTATGAATTCATAATGACCATAACGGGTACGGAAGGTAGTCTTTGGCACATCATCCGATTTAATCTTCAACTGGTGGTAGCCAAATCGAAGATCAATCTTAGAAAATACCTGGGCACCCTTGAGCTGGTCAAACAAGTCATCAATTCTAGGAAGGGGATATCGGTTCTTTATAGTCACCTTATTCAGTTCCCGGTAATCAATGCATAGCCTCATGCTCCCATCCTTCTTCTTAACAAACAACACTGGAGCTCCCCAAGGTGACACACTAGGGTGTATAAACCCTTTTTCAAGGAGTTCCTCCAGCTAGACCTTTAACTCCTTCAACTCTGCAGGAGCCATACGGTATGGTGCTTTGGAAATAAGTCCGGTGCTAGGAACAAGGTCAGTAGCAAATTCAACCTCCCTATCCAGAGGTAAACCTAGGAGATTCTCCGGAAATACATCAGAAAACTCACGCACCACCGGTATGTCTTCTAGTCTCAATGTCACACTACTAGCATCAGTAACGGAGACTAGGAAACCCTAGCAACCATTTACAAGATATTTCTGAACCTACAAGGCAGATATTAGCATGGGTGGAGCAAAAGAACCACTGCCTTGGAAACTAAATTCTGGCTCACCAAGGATATTAAAAATCACCCATTTTCGATGGCAGTCTATAGAGGCAAAATGTTTTGACAACCAATCCATCCCCAAAATGATATCAAAATCAGAGATATCTAAAACAAACAGACTAGCACTCAACTGTCTATCATCAATATAAATGTCCACAATCCTACACACCTCCCTAGTAGTCATCACCCCTCCTAAAGGGGTGTCCACATGCAGTTCAAGATCAGAGGTATCAACAGGCAAAGCTCGTTTCAAAGCATAAGATCGAGCAATAAAAGAGTGTGATGCACCCGAATCAAATAAAACATGCCCATAATCAGAATTAACAGGCAAGGTACCCGTGATTACGTCGGTAGTCGCAGCTTTCTTGTGAGTCATCACTTGCACTCTCGCCTGCTGGGCTCTTGTCCTAAGCCCGGTACTCTGTTTCTGTGCCCGCTGACTAGTAGAACTCTACGGAAAGGTAGGTTGAGTACTTTGAGCTTTGGGGTCTAGTAGTGGAAAATTTGCAATTCGATGTCCCTGCTTGCCACATTTGAAGCAAGCCCCAATAACGGTGTGGCACTGATCCCGGGTGTGTCCAACCTTCCCAAAAATGTGGCAAGTAAGCTAAGTAGGACAAGCACGTTGGGCCGTTGATGCCTGGCTCACGGTCTTGGTGGCTCCTGGTCCTTTAGAACTATCACGCCCCAGAACCCAAATCCAAGGACGCGACAGACGCTGTGCACTCGTGAGAGGGTCCCACAAATGCACAAGGCTCAGAACTTATCCAATTCACATCTGACAATCCAATAACTTAAATCAAATATTTCAATTTATTTCTATAACCAAAATGACTTACATCCCAATAATTGATCTAATGACCGAAATCTATTTTGATCTCATAAATTCAAGGTAAAATCTATCTTACAAAAGTATGATTTATTTTTAAAATCTATATCCATCTCGAAATGGCTAGCCTTCTAACTCGTCACTTCCCGTGGTTTCCTTATCCTCGATTTCTCCGTCCTCGGTTTCGCTTTCTGAAATGGTGGACAAGGAAAAACTATGAGATAAACTCAGTAAGTAAAATATGGAGTGCCCCTTATTAAACTTATATCATGCCAACAGTATAATTAGAAAAACGGATACAGTACGGGAATGAAATAGACATCTCCTCTATAGGTCATGGCCAGTATTATAAATCTCCCATTGGTAGGCTACACTTGAACGAACCGGTTCTATCAATAACATTTCGACATGTGCTAACGTTTAACCCCCACTAGCAAGATCATTAATAACATAACCACATCGGAGACAAAACAGGCAGAAGTTAACAGAAAAATCATAATTCACCAATCACTTTCAAATCATCAGGACAATCAACTAAATTTCAAGTAGGCATGCTCAATTTAATGAAAAGCATAAAAATTTCACTTCAAATCAATCATACTTACTTTTGTATAAAACAGGTTTAGTCCCGCTACCACTTCAAAAACAAGTCAAAACAAGTTTATTTCTACATGAACTAAGCCTAAAAAAAACACGTTTAAAGGCTGCTAATTTCTTCCCCTATTTCAGCAGAAATTTGAAAAGTACAGGGGCAGCAATTACATGGATGATTTCAGCAATTAAATGGATAAAATTGGACTTAAAGGAAGCTGTCAACATACCAGAATTTTCCCAGCAGCAGTAGAAATTGGAGCTGGCAGGTTTGGGGGCTTGACGAAAAATGCAAGGGAGTCACAGAATTACTAGAAATTGGAAGAAACAACAAGATTAGAGTGAACCCAACATGAATCAAGTGAGAAAAGATGAAATTGATGGCTAAATTTACCAGAAACCAAACTCACACTCTCATTGGCAATAGCAGTGTACGGAGGGGGGAGGAAACAGCAACTAGATTTGAAAAATTCCTTTGCTTTAAAGGGATTCTAGGTCCGGAAATGGGTTCTTGAACAAGAAAAGATGGAACAAACATCAAGCTTTTGCCAATTTTTTTTTCAAGGGTGCGTCGGTGGCTTGGGGGGGGCTTTCGGGAGGCAAGCATCAAGAAGAAAGAGAGCAGAACTGCACGGTTGAGGAAGAAAGAAAGAAAGAAAAAGAAAAAGTCAGCTGATCCTTATCCAAAATCTTTTTCCTTTTTAAGTCCCTCAACTTAGCAAATTTTGCTATTAAGCCCCAACATAATATTTCCTTTCATAAAAGTCCTTAACTTAATGTTAAAATTCCAGAAATTTTGGGATATTACAAGAACCCTTGTTGATCTCAGACTTAGGCGGTGTAAGGACAAGGGACCTACAGCTCCCATCAAATGTTCTCTTCCCAAGGGATGTCCCAACACTATGCTGCCCTGAGGACTTGACTCTAGCCATAGCCTTCTCTTGATCTATGGCTCTATCCGTAGCTTCTCTATAAGTGGCGGGTTTGAATTGATTCACTACCAGATAAATATCAGGATTCAAACCCCATAAAAATTTATTAGCCTTGGCTAGCTCATCCCCAACCTGACTACCCACAAAAGGCAGATAGCAGTCAAACTCCTTCTTGTATTGCTCAACAGTACCTGACCCTTGCTTTAGATCTGCAAATTCCCTTTGCAGTTCTCGCCTTTTGCTATCTAGTATGTACTCTTGCATGAACACCTTTTTAAAGCCATCCCAGGTGCTCAATTCAGGCTCTCCTTGGTGTAGCTTCAGATAATTCTCCCACCAAGTTAATTCTTCACCAGTAAGCATATAACTGCCTACATCGACCTTAAGGTCATTAAAAATCTTCAATAGGCGGAATCCCCGCTCCACCTCGGTAATCCATGAACCCACGTGCTCAAAACCCGCGGTACCATCAAATCTCTTGGTCACCACCTTCTGGAATTCTATATAGACCTTCCAGCTAGACACCGTAGAAGCAGAAGAAATCGGAATAGGGGAAATTGGAGCAGGGGCCATAGGAGTGGAAACCACTGAGGATGGAGGTGGCACACTTGTGGTAAGAGATGCTTGGCGTCTTATCTTTGCCATAAGTTCCTGAACAAAAGTAGCTATCTAAGGATTACTCGTTCCTCCCTCCTGCAGAGCAACTTGGGCAGGGGGACTAGCATCTGGGATCAGAGGAGTGCCCTGATCCTTACGACCATCCCTTGGGCGCCCACGCCGTTTTGGGGGCCATCTATAACCACATAGAAGGTTTATAGACTATTAACACTACAAGCAAAATGCCTTTTACCAATGGAAGTCTATACTGACGGATTGAAATCTGTCTGTATACACGGGTCTATACCAACGGAAACCATAAGCAGTAAGTATACACGGATTTATACCAACAGAAAACATAAACAGTCAGTAATTATTGGTCTATACCAACAAAAAAAATATATCTGTTAATATAGATTAGGTTTATACAAACAATTTACTAATTTTCCGTCTGTATGGAGTATATATATTCTAACGGTTATCAGTATTCATTTGTATAAATCTATGTATACAGACGGATTCACCTATTCTGTCTGTATAACTGATTGTTTCTTAAACATGATTTTTTCCTCTTTTATTTCAGCCGTCTGTGTACATTTTCCCTTCCCTCCGCATATTCCCAATTTTCCTTCCCCAAATTCTGAGTTTCCCTCCCCTTGTAGACCTAAGTGTTTCCATCTCCCTCCTAAATCTCCAAAATTTGGAATCGATTTTCCTAAAACTCAAAAACCCATTCGAACCTAACTGGAAAATTCAAAAGCTCGACTCTAATCCATCAACGACAGGAGGTCAGTAGGTGAGTTTGTGTTGATTTCAACTGATTTCTTCCTAATCCTCTGCATTTCTTCTATATTCATGGTTTGATTTCGTTCAAGAGACAAGTATTTGGGTTGATTTCATCCTCTTGCTAGCTTCCAATTCCCCCGAATTACACTCTCTAACTTGAGTTTCTCATCCACTTTTTTCCTGTATCAAAATCAAGTACAACTTTAGGGTTTTTGAGATTTGTAAATCTATCTCTAATTTTATGCCAAGCTTTGGGTTCTCCTGTAATTTTGATTTGATTTGATGTATAGGAGGTTTCCAGCGGAGGAGAGGCAGTGGCGTGCTGCTTGGCTAAGTGAAAATGAGGCTTCTGTTAAGGATTTGGTGGCAAAAAGGCAGTGGCATTATTGAGAGAAGAAGAAGGTTAGTCAATACTTCTTTGATTCTTCTTTTTCTTTCTTTCATCCTCCTTGTTGCCTTCCAATTTCTCACCCAAAATAGCTCGAATTTCACTTGCCCTAAACGAGGTTTCTATTATTTCTCATATTTCTTCCTTTTTTTTCGTGGATTTGCTCCATTTTTCTTTGATCTCTGTTCATCTGTTTCCAGGTTGAAGAATTTGCTCCAAAAATTCAATAGGTGATAGATTGGTATTTTTCTAATGCAATTTTTTTTTTTTTTTTTGTATATCTGTAAAGAATGAAATCATTAATTTGCTTACTATATGTGGATTGCTTCTGCATAAATTTTATGGAAGCTTTTAAATTCATGATAAGTATATTTGCTTTTATATCTCTTCTATGGAGTAAGAATTTTATAAAATGTCTCAAAAATAGATTCCTATTCTGGGTTTTAATTAGGGTTTACTGTAATTATTCTTGGGGTTAATCTCATCTCATTATTTAGAAAAAAAGGTGTGCTTGGTTTGCTGCAATAGAAATTGTGCTGAAATCATATGGTGGCTGACTTAAGTTGTTTGGTTAGCTTGAATTATATGCATTGATTTTTTCCCCCTCTTTTTATGAATATGGTTTATGTTATCAACACCTTCTGTTATTTTCATTGAAATTTTCACTTATCCTCTCTTTTATCAAAAACTAAAAATTAGAGAATTCATAACCCTTTACATTATTTAGATGACGAAATTCATAGTACTTTCTGACTTAAAAAAACAAATAAGAAATATGTTTTGGCTTGGTTTTTTATTCGCATTTTATAAAAGTGCCTTATTTTCTAGAGAGTGATTGAGTTCTATGAAGGGTTAAAACCCAAGGTTATACTAAGGCAGAAAAGAGAAGAAAATGGTTAGCGTAATGTTGCAGTTGAAGAAAATTGAGAACAAAGCATACAAACACATAACCTTTGCCAAAAGGAGAAGTGGCCTTGTCAAGAAAGCCTATCAACTTTCAACTCTATGTGATGTGGAGGTTGCTCTAATCATTTGTTCCCTGGCCAAAAATCTCACTCTTTTTGAGGGAAAGAAAAGGTTTAACTTAATTTGTTTAGATTTTGATGCACTGGTGAATAATTTTGTTGAATTTCATGCCTTCGATTGATTGTTGTTGCTAATAGGCCCATTTGGTATTGTGTGTTTTCTAGGGTAGAAGAGGTTCTGTCACATTTTATCCAAATCCCTGCAAAGAAGCACTAATGGTATGTGAATTTTGATAAAATGGATTATGTTAATTGGAAATTTAGCTATATATATGATTTTTTAAATGAACTTGAAAACTCGAATGGTAGGACGATGTCGTGATCCATGGGGTGTTTTTTTGGTACATATCTGTGGTGTTAAGAATGAGCTATATATGAAATGAAATTGTAAAAAAGAATTTTATGAGAAATCAAAGAGTATGGAGAAATCTTGGAATTTTTACACTGATACAATTCTCTATGTGTTTTTCCATATACCAACTTTTAATTTGTCCACCTGTCATCCAATTGGAAAGCCTACCAAATCAAGAGGTAAGCATTTCTTCTTAATCCAAACAATTCTGTTGCTAGTCATTGATTGCATGTCATTGTTGTCTTAATGTGACAAATGTATGTGATTACTCGTAGTTAAGGCAGATCATTTCTCAGCTGAACCTGGAAGCTAGTGTCTACCATCATAACACAACTTCCTCAGGGTATGTTCTGCTGTTTCACTAGAGTATTCTGTTAAATTATTGTGAGTTTTGGTTAGGTGACTGATTTGGCCTTGTAATTTTGCTTTCCTTTGTTGATCCTGGTTAGCAGTTGTGGTAGAGCCATTGGAATTGTGAGTGTTGATTCTGAATTGGAGGTATATAAAGCTGATATTAATATTATCTTAATTTTCTGTTAATTATTTTTTAATAATCATAGAGTAGAAATTGATCACTTTATTCAATGTAGGATGTTCAAAACCAAATCCTTATTTGCAATTCCCAGTTGCGGGATGTGGAGAGGGAACTATAGTATGGACTTATATATACTTCCATATCAAAATAATAAGTTTTCCTGATATTACAATCTTAAACTTGTCCTAATGTAAATATCCTTTTGAAGGTACATTGTAAAAAGTCCTAGCTGCATTAAATCATCGTGCGAGTTGGAATACCATGAGAAGATCTTGGAAGACACACTACAAGTTGTCCATATGCACAAGGCAAGATCTATGGTTAATCATAAATCTTCTGCAATTTGTATAGCTTTCTTGTATTCTTACTGCCACTTCTAATATTATAGGAAGCTTTAAAAGCACATAACAGCATCCTTCTAACTTTGGACGTATGTGCGGATGCTATTATAGCCCATCTGATTGGTCCATTTTAGTTTAGCTAAGACATGAGAAGGGAAATTGTATTATAAAAGGTAAGAAAAAAATCTGCATTTTTAATGATGTATACCTTTCTTCATCATATATATAAAAAAAAAATCATTTTTGTGTTAAATGTCGTAGGAACAACTTAAAAACTGCATGAGTGAATCTACTTCTTTTGCAAGTGCATTGGAGGAGACTACATCTTGGTGAGATGATATATTCTTTAAGGTGAAGGGATCTGACAAGAAAGTGAGGGTTCGCTGCTTAGGGAAGGTCCCAACTTTTATGTGGTTATCTCTGCAACTAAAAGGACCATAAGTTATCTATGTCAAATTTATAATTCTTTTCTGGTTCCAGTTCCCATCTTTCTTAAGAAATAGGGAGATGAGTTTTGACTTCAACAGTAAAATAATGCAATCTTGTATTTGGTTAGCTTCATCTGTGAAAATTCATGGGTTGATGCATGTGGACAAAAAGAATAGACTAGACTTATCTTGGTGAGAGTCTAAATTCAAAAAATGGGATGCTGTAAATCAGAGTTGAGGCGGATAATATTAAACAATAGTAAACTCTAGTGGCAAGTAGGGTCCCTATATGTTCCACTTTCTTTCAAGCCATATGCAAGGAGTTCTGTCTTTAAGACAGAGTTGTACTAACTGTGTCTCCATTTCTGTTTTCTAGAAGTGAAGTTGGTAACACAGGCAAAAGCACTTCAATTGTTTATGCACCTGGGTTTTCTAAAAGGTTTTAAATCTCTTTCACATGCCTTTTCTGCCTTCGTGATGCTATTACAAAATTATGACATGTTCTTCTATTGTAAGTCCTACTTAGTTGCTTATGTACTTTGGTGTACTAAATTAATCTTCCTTATGTTAGCCTATTCCTCGTTGAGATAAACACCTTTCATCTTTATATTTTTTTTTACTTAATAGTATTCATGCATATCTATGGTTTTTCAAAATCTACATTATGCGTTTATGCTTTGGCCTTGTTTTATCTTATCACTTACTTTATAATTGATTGGGTATTAATGGAACTTTCTAGTACCTGCTCTGTTATGCCATGGTAATTATATCTGGAAACATAGAATTCTATCTTGAGATTTTCTGTTATTTGCTATTTAACAGGCTAACAACCTTTGCAATAATTGAAAGAGTTCCAAGCAAATGGCCACGTCGTGTATGGCATCCTCCATGGAAGAACTGCAGGGTAAGAAGCTTGTACTTTATGATAGGGTGGATGGTAAAAGAATTGTTTGGGTATTTTCTAAGTGTGATAGTCATAGCTAGTTGAATAATAAGTTTTGTTGATCTTTTCTTTTTCTTCTTCTATTTTAAATGTCTTGGAGCTAATATAAGTAACATAGAATTTTCTTTATTCACTTTGATGATTGGCATATACTTGTTAGCTTAAAATTAGTTATCAAATTTTTTACATCTACATCTTTTGCATCCACCTAGCTAATTGCTATCCAGCTTCATTTTCAATTAGTTAGTCAAAGTAATGTTAGGTTTAGGCATGCATTACATGCATTAGAACATAGATTTTTTTTTTTTTTGGGTCAACCATATCAGAACACAGCTAGTTTGTAAAGATAAAGGTCTATACTCATGGTAAATTTTTTTAAAAAAATTTTAGGGTTTATACCAATGGAATTAGCCATCAGTAAATGTATAGGTCTATACAGAGGAAAAAATTCTTAAGATTTTTTAAGGTCTATACCAACGAACAAATCTTCCATCAGAATAGATCCCAAGGGTCTATACAGACGGCTTGGGCGTTGGTATAGACCCTATACTGATGAGGTTTCTACCCACGGAAAGATCTTCTGTCGGAATAGTCTTTGGGGGTCTATACTGACGGAATAAGGATGTATACAGACGGAAAACTTCTGTCACTATAGATACATCTGCTTGTAGTGTAATCAAATGCTCCAATGAGAAATTTCCCGACAAGTTTCCACTTTCGGGACCAAGCAACACAAAAATATCAAAACAAAGGAAACCAACACACATTAAGGAAAGAATCAAACAAACGCCTTTAATCAACCCCACTCTCATGCCTTACCACGTTCCTATCATTTATTTGCTAGCCAAGTTTTAGGCTAATCCTAGGCACTTAATTAAACCTAAGCTCTGATACCACAAAATCTGTCACGCCCCAAAACCAAGAGCGAAACAGACATCGTGCACTCAGGAACGGGTCCCACAAATGCACAAGGCTCAAACTACTAAGTTCATAATTACTAATTCAGATAATTTAGATTTAAAACTCAGGTAATATCTAGTTTCTCTTTTTCTTTCATACAACATCACAGCAGCCCAATTAAAGGATTTCCTACATAATTTGACTTAAAAACTCATTTCAAGGCTACCAAAATTCATCCCCCACTTCCAGTAGATTTTCGGACAACCCAAGTACCCATACAACCAATTAAGCTCAACAAGGTAGCAATTAATCAACCAATTTTCAGAAATTAGAGAAGCCAACCTACCAGAAATTCTCAACAAGCAAGGCTGGAGCTGGCGGGTATGGGGAAGAGCTGGCGGAAAATTGGAGGGCTTCCACGGGGACCACTAGCAATTGAAAGAAATGAAAATTAGAGTGAACCCACATACATCAAGGCTGAAAAGAGGAAATTCATGGCTAATTTTTACCAGGAAAACCGAAGCTCACACCCAGCAGCAACCAGCGGCAGGGGAGGAAGAAGACAGCAGATCTGGAGAATTTTTTGCAAGGGAGAAGATTTCTAAGTCCTAGACTTGTTCTTGAACAAGAAGAGAACAAAATCATCAAGTTCTCTTACCAATTTCTCAGATGGGAGCGTCGGTGATGGCTGGTTTATTTCCGGCTGCAGAGGAGAAAAAGAGACAGAGCAGACACGCAAAAATGGCTGGGAAAGAAAGAGAGAAAGAAAAAAGAAAAAAAAAGAAAAGTCAGCCGGCCTTATCCAAAAATCTTTTAAACCCTTTGGAATTTGAAAATTTGACTATTAGGTCCATTAATAACGTTTCCTCACCATGAAGTCCCTAACTCAACTTTAATGTTCTTGAAATTTTTGGGGTATTACAAAGAGAGACGTAGAAGAGTTAATACCTTGCATGGAGGTAGTTAGGGAGTATTTATAGCCCCCAAATGCTTACATGAGCTCCAACATATATTCATCCGATTGGGTCACGTGTTACTACCCACGTAGGCATGTCTCCCCATCTTGGGCCCATGGGTGTATAATTGGACCTGCTGCATGTGGCCCGAAGTGAATGTTGGGCCTAATCCCAACAATTTTATTTTTCTTATAATTTATTAGATCTCATTCATTATACTCAAAATAATGATTAAGGATTAGCACAATTTTTGGGGATTATTTTCTTTTAGGTGGTGCTATA